TTTGCTAGCGGTCGCGGGCTCGAGTCTCGCTGGGGACTGGTATTCATTTGTGTGATGTTTGTACTCCTGTCATGGATGTTCATATTTATAATATTTATGTATTTAAAAGTTATATATGTGTAGTATATGAACTATCTGGTATTTATAACACATGCCTCGTAGCTACCAGTAGTACCATGGAACTAAATGGCGCTGTGTGTTAATGTCCCAACATATTTATTTATTACTGTGTTATTGAAACTACATATTGTATTTTTAATACATAAGATATTATTTCCAAAAGTACATAGGTTATTATTAGGATGCACGCGACTACACCTATAAAATATTATTATTAAGCTACGATGAAAAACCTCTCATATTAATTTCCTATTTAATGTGATCGTGGGTAAGTGCATTTTTATGTATTTTATTTTTTATTTTCTAGTTTCTGGATTCAATATCTTTATCAATTTTCGACAGAAACTTCATATACACAGGTCGGGAGCAGAGCACGAACTGACCGACCGTTGTAAAATGACGTCACAGCGGCTGATAACTTCACGTCGTCGCACGCTGGCTAAACAATTAAATATCTCGGAAATTATAAGACTTATAAAAAAAATTACGGTATCTTTTCATTTTTAATAGTGTATTGTAAGATAGAAATAAAAAATTGGTGATATTCTTCATTGTGCCGCTGAGTGTAGTATAAACTATCTTGTTGATATATGTTAAGATCATTTTTAATTATATACATACATTAAGTAAATAACTTCAAAAGATTATCTTAAATGAAGAATATCACTAATTCACCCCAAAATATTAAAAATGTCACCCAGGGACATTCTTCATTACCAACTCTAAAAATGGCATTTTGTGGCTTTTTGTGTTTTTGAGTAATCGAACTTTAGTGTTTGCGATTGTAAGATACTTCCACCACGAAAGAAATGCAAAAAACTGTCAAAATTTGAAACGGATAAGAATGAGCTTAAAATTTGCATCCAAAGATGCAGTCATTCTTTGTGGAATTCCGCATTATTGTCACATAAACATCATTTATGTTGATTTGCTCTCAAATAAAAAAGAGTTTTTTTTTTAGTTTTAACGAAGTAACGGAAAGTCTTTTGCAAATTAAACCTTATAATGGACTCTCATAAGGTGGCAAGCTGTTGCTTTGATTGACGAAGGAAGCCAACGTCGCGCGAACGCAACTACATGAATTTTACAACTCAAGGTAAGGTAACTCGTAACACTGTGAGATATGCAGTGAGGCCGTTCCAGGACACTATCTTAAATTTGAAGACCAGGACGAGGTCGCAAATGATGAACTTCGGCTCGGGATGACCGCTTTATTGTCACTAATGTATATATAGATCGGTTCATGTTGGTAGCTCTAGAAGTATGAAATGTTTCTGTGAGCGAACGTAGGTTAAAAAGGAGGTTTGAAGAACTTGGTATATATAACAGCTTTTAGACCGGCTAGGGTGCCAAAGCTAGCGCAAGCCACCTTTGTTTTGCTTATGAATACAGGAACTAAACAATGGGGAAAAAAACCATCGGACTATATTATTCATGAAAGACAGTAAATGCGGAAAAGTATGTGACGGAGGTTGTAGAAGCCCACGTGATGCCGTTTACACAAGAACAATTCTCATGTTATTGCTTTTTTAACATATTTAATTAGGTAATTCCTAATGACGTTTTGACTTTACACTACTAAATATAATTACATAAATAATGTATGGATTTTTTTCGAAACTTTTTAACAAAATTAATGGTGGGTGTAACCACCCTGTTGCTGAGTCTATGTTGAAAAACTTGAGATGAAACTTTCGTTAGTTATAAAGTTTGGCTTTCAAGTTTTTCTATGATATCGCATAACTTAAAATTAAAAAAACTTTTGTTTAGTACTTTGTTATATTATAAAAAAAAATCATCTTAATGTGTGTGTATGTGTTTCATTTAGTTGTAAATATCAAGTGTTTACAACTCTTTTTTAGTTGTAAATAAAGTAATTTTTTAGTTGTAAATAAGTAAAGGATTTGTCTTCGAACGAGATCCGATAAATGACCGTAGGTACTTGACCTTTTCGTACATCATTAAATAAGTAAGCCGTAAGCGTAATCGAGCAAAGCTTTGACCTAGTATTAAGAGGATTGTGAACCTGTAAATTTTCATACAAAAAGCGATAACGTTTTTCCCCCCTTAAACATAGTCTAATTTTCATAATTTTTGGAAATGTTGTAGATATAATCAAAATTCTAGGTCCGTACGTTTTTTAGTTTTTTTGAAATATTGCGTACGACAGAAGTTATTAGCATCTAAAATATCAATATTTTTGACCTAAAACTTCCTCCAGCGTTTTATTTTTTAAATTAAACTAAACTGAATTACAAAAAAAAGGAAAACGTACAGACCTAGATTAAGGTGTACTGAATCTAATGAGACCAAAATCGTCTCATTTCGTTAATGTTTAGGGGGGGGGTGAAAACGTATATCGCCCGAAACAATATTTCAAAAAGGAAATGTGATGTAATTGAGTCTAAGACTTGCAACTCTCTCTATCGCACCATACGGGTCGGGGGCAGGGGCATATTTTAGACTGTAGTGATGTTGAAGGTGCTATCGATATTATATCTCCTAGGGAGGAGAAGGTAATATCGATATACGATCGATACTGAAAGGATTCAATCCAAAGTTAGAATTTTATTATACTCGTATGTATATGATTGTAACTAAGCCGTATCTGTACATTAAATATTTTTTGGAAAATATTATTGAAATAACATTATTATCGATACAGAGGCCGAATCTATAGTTTTTTGAATTTTGTCTGTCTGTCTGTATGTCTGTCTGTCTGTTACCATGTCACAGAAAAACCAATGGAGGGATTTTGATGAAATTTGGTATGGTGGGTAGCTGGTTATCCGGATCAACATATTATAGGATTACCGCGGGAAAATATCTCATTTCTGAGAAAAATACAAAACTGAAAATATATATATATATATGTATATAAATATATATATATATATATATATATATATATATATATATATATAAAAAAGACCCTGTAATATATATATATATATATATATATATATATATATTTTTTTTTAATATATATATATATATAGACCTTTTGGGAATATACTATGTTACATCATAACAATAACCTCTGTAACAAGAAAAAAAAATATATGGCTTAAATTTTCATTTCATACAAAATAAAAATATTTTCTATATCATCATAATCATTATATCTGGCCAAGTTTGAATGAGTAAGGACCACTTCCTACACCCCTCCACCCCTTGCCCTCCACCCCTCGCCCACCACCCCCCCTCCCCTCCCTCCACGTCACGCGCTTTCTTTTGCTAATGGCTGGGACTATACCGTTTAGAAGGAGCAATAAAAATACTTTTATTTTTGTAAAATTTATATTTTTAATTCTATATTCGTTATAATTTATAATATTTGTTATAAGTTTATGAAAATTATTACGAATAGTATGTGTCTAATTATATCTATATACACATACTATACGTTATAATTTTTCCGAAATTATCGAAAGATATTTTATTAGTTTTTGGAGTAATTTTATGATTTTTCTGAAAAAAATGATTTTAGGGCAATTACAGAAAGAAATTAAATTCATTCGTAATCTAATCTTGTTTATCCATTAGTTAAAAATATATATTTAAAAAAATTAAGTTGATATATTTTATAAAATTTAGTCATAGGTTTGTTAAAAAATCGTATAATCATCATCATTCATGATCAGGTCATTTTATGAATTTCTATTCCTTATATACTGCTAACATTATAAAATCATAAAACTTCAGGTTTTCAATAAAATAATTATTTTTAACAATAAAAGGATTCCGATGGGTAGAATTAGTACCTACATATACAACCAAAAAATTCTATAACTTTTCAACTTTGGAACGAGATTTTTGTAATTGATCTAAACCACCTATTTATGTTTTTATGAGTTTTTGAAGTCATCAATCTAAACAAGTCAAATTTTAAATGATATTCGCCACAGAATTGTAATTAGAGTTATTTCAGTTATGAATAAAGGTGCGATGTAACTTGTAGGGAATGTATATTGTACGCAAACCGTTAAAATAATAAATATTAGATAAACTTTGAAATTGCTCTTGCGCCGAGTCGCGCCGCCCCCGCCCTCGCCCCCCGCAAGCGCCCGCGCGTCACCGGCTGCTGCTATCATAGTGTGTGTGAGAATTTGCGTATGTTGTATTTGTGTTGTGCACTGCCGGGGGGATGCAAAGCGGTATGAAACAGATAGCATTTTTAAAAATACCTACTCTCGCCGCGTATCGGCACTTCACAATCCTCTTAAATCACTGCTTTGGTAGGCAGCGTTCATTTATAAATTTAAGTATATGTATTTAGATTATACTTATGTATTATGAATAATCTATACTAATATTATAAAGAGGTAGTTTGTGAGTTTGTGACGTTGTAGGGGGTAATCTCTGGATCTACTGAACCGATTTAGATGAAATTTGGTAAGATAGTTTGAGACCCTGGGAAGGACCTAGGATAGTTTAATCCCAAAAATCATCCCTTATGGGGGTGAAAATCGGGATGAAACTTTGTATGGGGAATCCAAGTTAGTATAGGGACGAACCCGAGCGAAGCGAGGGTGAGTCACTAGTATATAAATATGTAGCCGACAAATGAAAAGTATTATAATTTTTTTTTATCTCTCATCACACCTACATTAAGACCTACTGTCAAGGTTAAGCATTAAAACTAGTCAAAGTTACCATCGAAACCGATACGCAATGTCGTGTTATCGACGTATGGATTAAGGGCAAGGTCACTAGGTTACGGACGGCACCTAATGCTCGTTAACTTTACAATTTCCTGGTAATTGTTAGTAATACGGACCAAACAATGCGAGTGCCCCGGATGTATTGTGTGGTAATTTAGTGCATCTATTAGTTGTCGCTATAGATAATAAATGTATAAGTATAATTTTAATATGTTAACTCACCTCCATGACCACATATACATAAGCGGGGCTATCCATGCAATCGTGCATGGCTACAAGATTTGTGTGGTGAAGCGCGGTCAGTTCACGCAGAATTTTGATTTCCTTTACAAGTATCTCTGATGCCTTTTGAATACCCTTCTTAGTGACCACCTTCACGGCCACTGACTGTGACGGATTCTGGGAACAATATTATATAACAATTAAAAGACTTTTTAAGACCTAGACTTTTCTAGTACATTGTTTTTATGTATCTCTTAAGGTTTTGCCAGCGTTAGCTATTGTAAATGGATTAAAACCGGTTGCCTGATTTAATAGAAGCTTGCGGTTCTAACAGACAGTTCGTTTTCACAGTGTACTATGTATAGGTATAGATACATAATACATATTTTCGTTGATGATCAACTTGCGCTCGAACTTAACTTTGCATTTTCCCATAAAAATGGGAGATTTTACCACACTAAATTGCTTAGTATGTTAATTAAACCCTGCTACTAAAAGTTATAGCCATTTTTGTATAAAGTTAACTCGGCCTAGCAATTAGTGTTTTCCCGTGAGAATGAGAGATTTTCATGTAGTAAAGGGTATCCAAAATGTTAACCAAAGTAAAGAGTTAAAATCCGTTCAGTACTTTTTGCGTGAAAAACAAACAGATACACAGGCCAACAGACAAACAGACACACAGACAAAAGTTGCAATGACTTTTGTTTTAGAATAAAGAATATAGACCATAATCGGCACATAATATTAATATGTAATAAGTAAGATTGTTTTTAAAACATATTTCATGTACAGATTTCGCTTTGTTACTATATTATTTACAATATCTATGTATTTTATTTATAAATATGTATTGACTTAAAGGTCATTCTGGCCGAAATTACACCTCGCGCAACAATTTGTATAATCCTTACTTTCTAATCATTCTAATTTAGTATATTTCTATTCTATCAATCAAAAAAGTGGTATCTAAAATATGTCTTACTTTTGGTACATATTTTGCTTAATTCTATCTGCTTCAGACTTTTGCCAGTCCTAAAGTTATCTTGTAGCTTTTTAGCAACAAGGCCACTTTAACCCCGGGTTTAGTCTATAGACAAAACCATGATTGCGAACACTTTTATAATTTATGTACTTAAACCAGATCTCGGAACCGGTTTATTTGTTTTGATCGGTTTATTTACGTATTGGTTAATTCATTCCTCGCTCTTTAACCGGTTAGTGTAAAAGAACCGTTAAGTAAGCCGAAATAATAATTGTTAACGGTTATTCTTAGAGAAAGGTTGGATTTCGGTTTCGATACCGAAATAAACCGGTTAATTCATTCATAAGTAAGAAACGTGCATGCATCCTTCTACTAAGCCATTCACAATTAGTAAAGACGCGCCAAATGTAAACACACAAAAACTCATTTTAACCTGTTAATTTTGTTCATGGAACCTATATTCGTCCAAAACCGTTCTCTGCGCTTTAAACGGTTAAAGAACATAACCGCGATCTTAAACCGAAAAGCCATTCGGTTTGGGATCAATGGCCAAAACCAGTTCAAAAAATTAACCGGTTTCCGAGCCCTGACCTAAACAGTACTATAAAAATAGCTTTTTGACGAAAAAGCCCAAGCCAAAAATTGGTCGATGATAAAAGATGTGTCAAAAATGTGTTTAAAACCAGAAATTAGTTAATACTTAATCTATACATATAATAAAATTCTATACTGAGTCGAATTTGTACATTAAATATTTATTAAGATATGTAGTCATTATTATCGATACAGAGGTCAAATCTATACTTAAGTAGTTTTTAGAATTTTTGTTTGTCTGTCTGTTACCGCATCACGGAAAAACCACTGGAGAGATTTTGATGAAATTTGGTACGATGATAGCTGGTTATCCGGGTATATATATAGGATACTTTTTACTGCAATATCTATAATGTATTTATAAATATGCAATATATAGGATACTTTTTACTGCGGGAAAATATGTCATCTCTGAGAAATCTATAGATACTAAATGTTAAAACATAAGTAGGGTCGAACCTGAGCGGAGCGAGGGTGAGTCACTTGTGAATTATATAATAGCATGTGTTTACAATTTTTACAAGTAGTAGTAGGGTATGCTTGAATTCAGTTTTTTAGAAGAAAATAAAGCGATCTCACCGCGGCTGCCAGATAAAGGACCAAGGTTTAAAATTTCTTTAAAATAAAATTATTAACACTTCTTTATTTTATTTTTACTAGGTAACAACTAACAATTTTAGGTTCAATTTTATACATGTAGAAAAAACAACATCCCAGACATATTTTAGCTAGTTTATATCAAAACCACGTGCTTTTCGTCACGAAATTGAAAAACCTAGTTATATACTTCTATGATGTAGTCTATTGAATTTTTTGCATTGTATTTATTCTATAAAAAACCGTCTTGATGTATATGGATGAAAATAACTTCACTTTACGACCCATAGACAAGCACTGTACTAAAATCAAACCGATCCTTTGCTCTGTAAACACACTTCATTTACCGATTGATATACCTATAATCTTATAGTAAAGGCACAACGGAGAGATGTAGAAGATACTTAATCTATGTTATTAAAGATACACGTGTCACCTTATCATACCTAACCTTATTATTAATGATGTGGGATCTTATCATGTGCTCTTAATATCAGTCATGTTAATTAAGATCCCAAGTAGATACTTACTTGTAGCTCAAATTACAATTTGTTACCTAGGTATAAACCTATCAAATAAACGTAGTAAAATAATTACGGGCACCATTTTATTTCTTGCTTTCCTTAGCCAAAGTATATATTTAGCCGGAGTATAACGAACATACGATACCAAGAGTCCATTTTATTTGCTTATATTCCAAAGGGAGCCTGTGGTATACCGGCGATGGTTTAACATTAGCCCGTTCTACATTCCCCACTTCATAGACTCAAGTAGCGATTAGAATTTGACCCGATTTCGAAATGACCCTCGTTTTCGACTAGATAAGTTAGGTACTTTAAACGTAAAATATTTAGTTTTATTGATTAAAAAAATGGTATATAACATACGTAAAATACTTGTCTATACGTAGAAAAGTTGATAGTATTTTATTTGTTACAAATATGTTATGGGAACATAATATGAAATAAATGCTGTACGTAGTACAGTTGTAATAATAATACAACACGTGGGTTGTTGTATTATATAGGCTCAATCACGAGATGTTTTATATTCAGTATACTTGTATTCTGTTTATTTATTAACGCAGGTGATATTTCGGTCGACACATCGCACGTGTCAACGATACGATTGCTGCTAAAACTGTTCGATTATACCGCTCGACTTGGCCGTTGGCCCGCGGCGTCGCTACAGCGTTCATGATATGCTTTATATTTAGATAATCTTGGAAGTTCTTAGATGACGTTCCGCGATCAGAGATTAATCTTTTCGGTACACTGAAGGTGTGAAAATAGTTTTTCATTGCGGCGATGGAATGAATAGATTTAGTACTTTTAACTGGCACAAGTATGACAAATTTCGTAAATGCATCTATAATTAAGGTTTATCTACTTTTTCGATAGGATGCAATTTTCCTGCTCTTTTCCCAGATGGTACTTTAGCATGAGCACACTCTAGACACGATTGTACATACTTTTTTATAAATCTTCTCATTTTAGGAAACCAGTACTTATTTTTAATTATCTCTAAAGTCTTATCAAAACCAAAGTGTCCGATCTCGTCATGGTTTGATTTCAATACCTGCCATCGGACTCCTTTCGGGACAACCCAACGATCCCCGTCTTCAGTTTTCCTATATAATAATCCTCTTTTTATTATAAAATTATTTTTGATCTCTATAACATTATCGTTTTCAGTATCCTTTAAGATTGAAATTATTCGTTGTCGGGATCGTTTTGTTGTACCGTAGCTACCCAATCAGTATCAACATGTCCTACATGTAATTCTACTGAATGTGAAGAGATGGGATTACGACTAAGGGCATCTACGTGTGTCATAGCTGTGCCAGGCTTATAAATAATATTAAAATCAAATTCCTGGATAACATTCCACCATCGCGCAACTCTAGGTATTGTGTCTCTTTTCTCAAAAGTTGCACGAAGAGAGTTGCAGTCTGTAACTATGGTAAAAGGAATTCCCAAAAGATATACTCTGAACCGCTGTAGCGAGTTCACGACAGCCAACGTTTCCAAATCATAGGAGGTAAGTTTGGATTCTTCGGGGGAAGTTTGTCTACTATAAAATGCTACAGCGCTGAATGGGGATTCTTTATTAGGTCTTTGCATTATTATTCCGGCAACTCCAATCTTAGAAGCGTCTGTATGTAATTGGGTTTCGTACTCAGGATTATAAAAAGAAAGAATAGGGCGTTTGACTAATTCGTCTTTCAATGTTAAAATGCTAATTCTTCTACGTCACCCCATTTCCATTTAGCATCTTTCTTAAGAAGTTGCGTCAATGGTTTTGCAATAATTGAGAACCCTTTAATAAATCTTCGGAAAAAACTAGCTAGACCCAAAAACTGTCTGACTTTGTGTTGATCTGTAGGTCTAGGAAATTTATCCACTGCTTCAATTTTTTTCTTTCCCGGTTTAATACCTGATTCAGTGACTTCAAAGCCTAAGTAATCTATAGATTGTTTCAAGAAATTACATTTTGACAGATTGAGAGTTATACCGGAAGAGCGAAACAAATTTAAAATATCATGAAGTTTCTGTAATCCCTCGTCTATAGTTTTAGAAGGTACAATGACATCATCCATGTATGCAAATGCTTCTTTGAATCTTGCATTCCCCAAAATACTATTAATAGTCCTTTGAAATGTGGACGGAGCATTTACGAGTCCAAACGGCATGCGGTTGAACTCATAATGCCCATCAGGCGTTACGAATGCTGTATAACGTTTCGATGTTTCAGCCAATGGGATCTGGTAATATCCAGAAGCAAGATCCAAAGAAGTATAATATCTATAACCTGAGAGACTATCTAATTGGTCTTCTATAAGTGGTAGGGGGTAGTGTTCTTTGATCGTCTTTTTATTAAGTGCTCTAAAGTCAATACAAAGGCGATAGTCACCAGTCTTTTTACGTACGAGAACTATTGGTGAAGCATAATCAGAAGATGATTCTCTAATTATATTCGAATTTTCTAAATCTTGTATAATATC